GAATACATTATTAGTTGATTTATTGCTAAAATCATTGATTTTTGTTTAAGTAAAAGTTTTTGGAAAAAAATGCTACGAACTTATTCCCCAACCTAATAATTTTCTCCATTTATTATGACTTTGTTCGATAAGCTGAAACATACCGAAATTTCCTTCAACAAATTAGTCAGGATGTTGCAAAATTATGAAACAAGCAGTAGTAGCGAATCATGCTATGTTTACGATTTGTTTTTTTTTCCACTTTCACCGCATTGTCTTGTGGTAGGTTTTGTATCAATGCAAGAAGCCCATAACCAAAATCTGTAGCCTAAAAAAGGAATGTTTCTTTGTGATTGCACGACTAATTTGCAGCTTTCCGAAATGCTGAAATTCAATCATAAAACGATGATTAGCCACAAGAAAATTTACGCATAATTCAAACTGCAACCCTGCCATCTCATCAAGGATTAGGAACAATTTCGCACATAGCTGAACATTTTTATGTGAAGGAAAAACTTGAACAGCACGTCATTTGGAGCAAAGTATAGAGGTCAATTCGACTAGTAGCTTTCGATATAACCCTTCTAGGATTAATGATAGCCCTTGAAGAAATTTTTCCCAGCTTTTGCACGTCCATGATTGGGCGAATCCATCTTCACACGAACAATGCTATCATCTCGTCGTAGATGCTACGAACGGTGCAAGAAGCAAAGATGCCTCTACCTCTACGGATATGACAGCTAAGTCAAGTGCATGTTGATTATGAATTTTGGTTGAGCATGACGACTGGAAGTGCTAGTTAGAAATTATTTAGCCTTAGGCAGATAACCGCGAGTTTGATGTTGTGCTTGTACAATCAACGGAAACATAAGGCAAAGAATAAAAAAGAAAAGAAAATTAGGAATGAATTTATCATTTCCACCAGTCATTTATATGCAACATAGTTATTACGCAACTTACAGCGAATCGGGTCCATTTCATTATGTTTCATTACTTTATCATTTAGAGCACAATCAAGCTCACTAGGAATTCTATTCACATCATCCAAACGTAAAGTTTTGTTCAGGTGGATTGTTATGCTATGTCGTCTACAGAGAAACAACCTTTCGGTGGGATCAGGAAATCTGCTATTGCTAAAACACACAAAAGATTCCAAGGTTAAAAGGTATTTAATCGAAATGCAACGTCCCTATCTAGAAAAAATAAATTTAACTTGAGGTTCGCCTCACCTTAATGCAGGGTAAAACTGAGTTCCTCCCCGCAAGTTCCACTTTCGCAGAAACGACCATCAAACCAGCAAAAAATGTAATCTGAATGAACAGAGGACAATTTTTGAACTTTCAGAAAATATTGTTATAAATTATTTTGGTGATCCGAAGGAGTCATCTTGCGCCAAAAATTTTGTTTTTTAGAAAGATTCCAACCTGGTATAGCCATGTGAAGAACATGCACGCAGATGTCATCGCACAAAATCCTTCGACTGCGATGATATCTGTGAAAGTCCCAACTCCGAATGACAACACCTGCAAGGAAAATAATGTAAAGACATGTATGAATGTACAGGGTTATAATGGCCTATGAAGGCACGTACATCTGTAATGGAAGTAATGAAAATGGCTACTGAGCATTCGCTCAGAGCCTCAACCATTCTTTTCTTCAATATTGCATGAGTATTTCCTGTAAGCATTAAATCATATTGAAACCAATTAAATTTGGAATTACGCAGCTTGTCTAGTCACCTGGATATCTCAACTCAGTGTTATGCCAAGCAGCAACAGCGATGAACATGTCATCTACTCCTATTGCTAAAAAAATACGTTTAGTCAAAAGAGTTTAAAGAACAAAAAAAAAAGAAATCTTACAAAGGACCAAGAATGGGGCAACGAGAGTTATCTCAGCAAAAAACATTCCACACCA